ATGGAGGTCATCGAGGCCCTGGACCCACCACTCTTCCGGAGTAGCTCCTGGTAGCTGCAGCCCGCGCCACCGCTGCCGGATGCTTCGCGTGCGCTTTTAACGGTAATGTCGTCATCGTACTCGGGGCAACCTGGACGCAACTGCTGGCCGGTAGGCTTGCGCGCCGCGCCGCGGTTGGTCTGTGTGGCCGCTTGTGTTGGTGGAATAGCCGAGCCCTTGGCGGGGACCGCCTTTGGCGGGCCTCGTCGGTTCTTAGGTTGGGGCTCTGTCCCAGCACCATCAGCTGCACGCTGCCTGTCATTTCCGGGCTGCAGAGAACAAGGGAAAAGGGCCAGTGGTAACTAAAGCTCCTAAGGGAGCAACAACTGTAATGTAAGGTGAAGATTTTATATGTAATGTTTAAGGCGCCCGTGTGTTGTCCAAAGAACAGCAAGTGACCGAGCAAGACGAAGGAAAGGAGGCATATTACCGCGTCAAGAATTCAAACTGATGGACGGAAGTCCAACAGTTATGAGGTGACACATTAGCGCGCCTTGCTGCCTTAAGAACGGGTCTACTTACCCCATTACCGCGGGCAGAGGGAGGCGGCCGCTGCCAAGGTGCCTGGTAATTGGCTGGTGCCAGTGAGGCGGGCGGGATCCCTCCGCGGCGGCCTGGCGCATTCTTGGCAACCTGACCATTGGCGGAGTTGCCAATCCGACGCGAAACGGCGGCGGCGGCGTTCCCAGATGACGGCCGTCCGGTTGCACGGCGCAGCGCAGCCGCCTCCAACTGCTGCGTAGCAAGCAGCTTTGTTGGTTCCCCGAAACCCAGGGGCTCCTCTTGGTCGTGCAGCTGCTGCTGATCCAAGTGCTGACTTGACAACCGCGGCCGCCTGAAGGATGCCCCAGGATTGTAATGCTCGCGAGCCGACACCGTGGAGCTGTAGTGCTCGCGAGCAGATGAGGTAACGGTATAATGTTCACGGGCGGAAGCCGTGGAAGTGTAATGCTCCATTGCGGGAAACCCAGGGAGGTAATGGTCGCGCGCAGTGCCCAGCAACGCTGCGGGTTCTAAGTAAGGCATTGCCAAGTACAGGGGGTTGTCGACACACGGCTCGGTGTTACTAGCATCGTTGGCAGCCTTGCGCGGCTGGCCTAGTCCGCAGCCCAGGCCCCGCGGCGGCGGCCGAGGGGGCATACGCCTGCCAGCGCTGGGCCGCCTTGAGGTATCCGGAGCCTGGGAGGCTGGCTGGATGGCGTGGTAGGGGTTGCTACAGGCGGAGGACATAGCGGAGGCGGACTCGAAAGCACCGTTCAGACGAAGGCCCGCGAGGCGACGATGGGACTGCTGCTGCGCATAGAACGACAAATAGGACCCCGATGTGCGCCTGCGGCTGGAGGAAGCGTGCTGGGCAGGCGCTGCAGCCCTCGCGGAGAAAGCGCTGCTGGTGTGATCGACGCTGTCGATTGGGCGAGCCTGCGGGCGCCATGGGGACGAAGATATGAAGGCAAAAGGGCAGAAGTTTAATACGCGGCCCAAGGCCCAACCCTATGTAAGGAAATTCAAGTAACGCCTATGCGACGGCCTGTCTGCTCCCTTCCCATAACCCTCAAACCCCAACTTAACTGTGCCCCCTCAGCCCTCACCTGGCTGTTACCAAGCACTGAACCAAAACACAGAGTGCAGGAGCCGGAGGTCGCACTACCGCCGTAAGATAGGTCCGCCGCCTGCGCTCCCAACAAAGGATGAGCGCTGCCGCCGCCGGAAGGACCGCAGTACGGCAACGAAGCGCCGCTCGCTGCAACACTGGCATTTCCCACAAAATCTGAGCTGCGGAACAGCCACTGTATGCCGCCGCTGGCGGCAGGTGCGGTCGGCTCAGCTCCGCCACCGACACCACTAGCTGCCGTACTGTAAGGCCAGCGCGTCCCGCTGGCCGCAACAGCTAGCACAAGTGCTGCGGCCGCCGTAGCGGCTTTTTTGGACGGCGTCGCCATGCCGACCCCGCCGCCGCCGACATGCGGCTCCAAGCCCTGCCGCTGGAGGTTCTCATCGATAATGCGCGTCAACTCCAGAGCGCGCGCACGAATGTAGCGCTGGTATGGCTCGCTCAAACCCGACACGACGGCCTGGAGCTGCGTGATGGCATCGGTGACCGCGTAATCCTCCGCGGTAAGCCAGCGCGAGCCCTCCTCGCCGCTGGCTGCGCCGCCACCGCCGCTGCAGTCGTCACCGCAGCAACTGGCGTCCTCCGCAATAATGCTGGCGTCACCGCCGGCCGCGCCGGCATCGCGCCGGGGGCTGCTTTCAGATGGCTCGGCCATGTCCTGACCCAGATCATCTGCGTCTACGTCATCATCGTCCTCATCGTCAATAGTCACGTCACCGGAGTGGCACCGGTCCGCAGTGCTGCAGGAAAAGACCTCATCGCCGTCGCTTTCGGTTGCCAGGACCTCCGCTACCGATTCCAGGTCTTGAAGTTGCAGGTGTTGAGTCACGTGCGCAGATTGCGGCGCCGCGTGCTCCCGGTCCTGCTGTTCTTGTATCGAATGGCGTCGCGCTCGTCCGTCGGAGCATTCCGAGCAGGCAAGGTCAACGAGCGCCTCGTCGGACTCCTCCACGGCGCTCGTGGCAGACATCATGCCAGACATCGCTAAGGTACCGCAGGTGCCGTGTCGGTGGGAAGGAATCTGGATGCCACCGCTGCTACAGGCACGTGACGGCACATGGCCAAATTCACGAATTACGTGGGGTGGATTGGGCCACTGCATGGGGCTACCCGTCAGGAGGACAGCACCATCTGTAGACGTGCAGCTAGCTGCCCGCCCAGCGCTGCCACTGCCTCTACGGTGTAGCAGGGTCGCGAGGCTGAAGCGCGATTCTGTTGGGTAATCGCAAGGGACCAGGTGTATTCATTAGCTTAATTCCGTCGAAGAGCCGAGGAACTAGAGTTCTCATTGGCCTAATTGTGTCTACAGTGAACGACGTTCGCCCCGCAGCAATTTCATGAGCATAGTCGGTTTGCCGTGCCCCTCAGGGAACTGACGGGATGAGACAACGGTGGTTAGCCTGTCGGAGAGCAGGCGCCGTCGCAATCTGTCGCGCAACTGCTTTTCTATCAAGGTGAAACATAAGACATGTCAACTAAGCCCTACACTGTGTCGACCCCGAGCGCCTTACCAGTTGTAGACGTTGCGCCACCAGACCACGCGGGACCGGCATTATCGCACCCAGTCTGCACGCGAAGGAATGTATACACAACATTGTGAGGCATGTTAACAAATTGAGATACTTTCGTGCAACCCAGTCCGGATTTCGAACCATTTTTGGACATCGGAACCACATAAGTCACCCCAAGGGGATTTTACACAAGGCTGCTATTGGAACCCACCTGTGCGGAGCTTGTAAGCAGACCAGAGGAGGGTATAGGCAATGTGACAGCCTCGTCATCGGTGCGGCGTGGCTCAGCCGTGTCGGTGTCATCCTGGGGCAGAGCCGACATTCGCAGGATACTTGTAAGGTCGCAATGACGCTATCCAGCAGTGCTTCTTCATGTCAAGGTAGAGCTGATGAAATTCATCTACTTACAAGTGAGTAATCAATACCAGAAGTGCGCACCATGGTAGTCAGGGGAGGCGCGCTGGATGGCTCCCCGCCCTCTGTGTGCATCGCTACAATTAGCGTCTCAGTAGCTCCATGGTCAGCCATGTATAAAGTCGCCAGTTATGGTTGCTTCTGCGTTCTTGCGCAAGAGTGCGCCGGAGCCGCTGAGCTGTCTCTTGCTTCAAACTGCCTTGGAACCTTGCGACATAGCTTTACTGTCGCCTTGCTCACAGCTAATGGGGCATGCGCCTCCAAAGATATTAAGGTGTCAGTCTTTGAACGGCGGACCAGTTCAAAGTTGACTTTTCGCAGTCGTTACATACAAAGATCTGTATATTCAGGGAAGTTATTTATGCATGCAGCACGGTCTGTAAAAAACGTATTTGAGCAACAATCAATTCCATGGACCACTGGCATATCAGTGACTGATGACATTGTCAGGACTGCTCCGACTGTACAGACAAGTACGACGTGGCATGATTGCCCGCAACTTTGCTTGCTTGAGGCCTGTAGCTATTTGACTGGCTTTTGAAACTTAATTAGCTTTTTCCTAAAGAGGATAATAGGCACGTCCTAAACTGGAGCAGATGCCAACTAAGTGACGAAGCCTGAGACCAAGCTCATTAATATTTTGGAATACACGCCAATTTTTGAAATATTTTATTGTTTTTAGGAAAGGTAGACCTTTCCTGTTGCTCTGTCATCGCCATTCTCCGCAACAGGCAGCATGAGTGTCCAAGTAGCACTTAGCGTGCTTCTAGCACGGTATGCATATATTGTGTGGGATGTGCGGACCCAAAAACGATGTCGTCGGCAACCTGTACTTTGGGCACCCTTGGTCTGGTATTTCGTGCATCCTTGGTTTGCCGGAGACTAATTAGGTAATGGGTTTAGTATGGTGTGCAAATGTGGTGTGTTTGTAGCCATAGGAATCGTCTCGTCGTTTACAGAGCTGTTACAGCCCCGGCTTGTACTGCGACGCCGCAGGCCGAACCAGCGCAAGCCGGATGGCCTCCACCATATAGCAACATTCCTTCAAGGACAGGTACTACAATTAGACACTTAACGCTGAGCATCTGTGCCGTTCGTCTGCCAACTGACTACACAGCCCACCAGAACGGGAAGCACGTAAAGAGTTAATCTCTTTAAGGAACGAAAGCAATTGTCCTGTGATTTGCATGTCCTAAACACGACAACTCAATCGTCTCACAGACACTCGGATATCTTGGGATTAACCCGGTTACAACCAGGCTAGATAAAGGACCATAAGGTTGCACGTTAACAGGCTCCTCGTAATCTATCCCTGTTACCGCGTAAGAGAATGTGGCCACGAAAAAGATGCCGCTCAGCAAAACCTCGGCTAGGGCCCATACATTGATTGTGCCCCGTGCCGCATCCCTGCTTCGCACACGCAGCCTTTCTTTGCCGGCGTCGGCATCGACGTTCTTCAGGAGCTAGCCAGCGCCCTGAGTAAGTACCCGGCCTCGGTGCATACCCCTACGGAAACCGATAGGTCGTAGGACAGGTGACATCCTTGAATACGTCTTAGAGTTGTTGTAACTCTCCGCAGGGTCTTCCATGACTTGTGCCGTCTCAGTCTGCTGGCACGGTCTTGTCGGCAAAGGGGGGATGGCCTCGGCGTTGCAACCGTTGAATATCTTGTCGCCTCATCGTGGGGAAGCGTTGAACATTCGCGGGCCTGTGTCGCAAAGCGTACCTTGTCCCGCCGTCGGCCCTTGTCTTCCCGCAGCCCTCCAGCATGTTGCTCCTGGCGAGGTGGTCCTTCATGTCGGCGAGCTGACGGACCGACTGTGGGTTGAGCGGGGGGGTGGGTGGGGGGAGGGAGAGAGAGAAGGCTGGGGGCTCAGGGCGGCTCAGTTGCAGAAGGCACACTCCAATACAAACCCCCGGGCTCCAGCCACTGACTGCCCCAAACCTCACTTGGCCCAACTGAACCAGCAGGTACGTACTCCTCAGCGGTAGCTGCTGGGTTGTACGGCACTCCCGTCGGGAGGGTTTCGAGCCTCAACCGCCACAGCAACTGATGCCGGGACAGGTGAGGAGAGGGAGGGCACGGGTCGGGGCCGTTTGAGTTGTAACTCCCCCCTCTTCTCCATTCCAGACTTACCCCACGGCCCTCTCCCTCGCCGCCAGGCTCTATGTGAAGCGGCACTGGTGGTCTCGGGCCGTCGCGCAGATGTGGAGGTGACGGTGGAGGCTGCAGTGGCAGCGGCTGTTCCCGTTGGCGGACATCGGGGCGGGGCTTCATTTGCGGTGCTTACACGCGCCGCCTGGAGTAACTTGTGCATTCGGGCGCCTGTGCAGGTATGCGCAGCAAGCAGGGGGTAATGACGAATCCGGTCAACGCAGCGGGCAGTGGAGGAAAGGGGGGGTTGTGCCGGGGGACCCACCGAGGTGCAACACAGAGCGAGAGTGGGCGGGTGCGGGTGTGTGTGTGCGTTCCTCATAGCTAGTGCTCGGTGTGGCAGTCAAGCGATGCATGAGGGCAGAGTCCAACACCGGAGCCAGCAACTGGGCCAGGCAAGGCAAATCAAGCAGACGACAACCATGAGATAAAGAGGAAGTTACCACGGAGGGGTTTAGGCGCTGTTGTGTATTCCATCCATCTGGTATTAAGGCCTATAAAACCCGCCAACTCGCGCCACGTCCCTATGGCTGCCCTGTCCCCCACTCCCGCCCTCCCTATCAGTCCTTGTGCAGCCAAGTCCGCACCGCGCTGCTATGTTGTTGTGCTCGGTCCCTGGCGTCCTGTTCTGATCCCGGGCAGCGGACCTTGGAGCAGTCGGAGGATCTGGCGGCACTGCTGAGACTGGTGTTGCCGGTGAGGGGTGGGGGTGGGGGTGGAGGGGGAGGGGGAGGATGTTGGAAAAGTTGGTGAGGGGGTCGTTGTGAGACAGAGGAAGAGGACGCTAAGGGGGTGGCGGCGGGAGCAGCCCCAGGAAGGGGGCTGGGACTGCGGAGCATATTTTGGAGGAAAGGGTCTTGGAAGAGCTTGGAAGTCGGTCTCGGCGGTCTCATGGTCTCGGTGTGGTATCTTATGATCTTGGAGGTAAGGTCTTATGATCTTGACGGGATGTTGCGGGTAAGGTCTTGTGGTACGGGTCTCTTGGAAGTAGCTGGTTTCCGGGGATGGAGGAACCTGGTAACGTATGTTGGCCATGGCGGTGCTCCTCGCGCGCCTATACTCGCGAGTTGGCCTTGTCCCGGTCCGCTCGCGGCCCCGTTCGTGCCCACCTGCATGCATGCGGACCCGCACACCACCGGGCAAGACTACTGTATAGGGCCCATGTGAATGCCAGTAAGTATTCCGTGTGGGTGAAAGGGACAGACTTACGGCACCAACAGGTACGGGCAACACGGCCACAACGAATAGTACGCTTCCTTCCCGCCCAATTCACTACCGTAATGCACACCTAAATTCCCGCGCTACCGTGCCCTGTCCTTACCGGTCCCCCACCGCCCCCTACCCCCCCCGACCCGTTCCCCCAGGGCTTGTGTTCCGCCTCCTCGGGTCCCGTACTCCGTGCCATGTCCGAGTCTGCCTTCCTGCGCCACCTGCCCCCTGGCACCATCATGTTCGAGGAGGCTACCCGGGCGGAGGCGCAGTTCCTGGTGCTGGCGGGAGGGGTGGAGGTAGGCCGGGAGGGAGGGAGGGAGGGCAGGTGGGCAGTGTAAGGGGGTGGGTGCGGGTGCAGGACGGCAAGGGCGGCAGGGGGGACAAGAGGGGGAGGTGCGGGCGGACTGTGTGGTTTTGCCGACAGAGTGAATGCATGTTGAGCGGTTACCGCCCCATACGATGTGATGACCCAGTCGGGCCGTCATGTGGCCGTTGTGTGCCATGAGTGCCGCTCTGACCCACCAAGGAGTTCATCGCCGCGGGGAGATCTCCGGGCTCTCATTGCAGCTACATGGCCTCGCTTCCGGGGGCTTGAGGGAGTCCTTGGAGGCGGAGGCGGAGGCGAGTCTGGTCCCTTACGTCGATGCAGGGGAAGGAGCCTTGCGAACAGCACGGAGAAGGGATGCGACACCGTTTTTTTGTGTGTGTGTGCGTGTGCCTGTGGCGCGTATGTGTATTTCCCCGGTGATGTGTGTTTGCGCGTGCTGGCGGCTGCAGATTCGGCGGCGGCAGCACCAGCAGCAAAGCCTAGGCGGATCGGGGCCCGGAGCCGCGAGAAAGGCAGGGCGACGCGCGGCGACCGCGACTGAGGCTACCGCAGCCGCAGCCGCAGTGGCGAGCAGCACCAGCAAGTCAGTACGGCAGAAGATTGAGGATGAGCGCAAAGGTACTGCAAATCGCCCGCATGCGCGGGCTCCGGATGGTGATCCAGGGTGGATGCATGTGCGGTACAGGACAGCATATGGGTTAGCATGGGACGGGACGGGAAGGCTATATGAAACTGCTACATTTGCGCATATTAAGGTTCAACCTAGATTGCCTCCCCTCGCCTCCCCAACGCCTCCGGCTCTGGAACCCGGAACGCTTCACTGCTGCCGTGATCCTGGTCTGCGTCGCCGCTGACCTCCCCACAGCTCGGGAGGCCCTCAAGGAGTCTCTGGCGCTTACCCGGGATGGGTTGCGGGAGACCCTTCTGCCGCCACCGCCTCCACCGCCGCCGCCATGCAAGTCTGTGAGCAGCTCTGGGCGGTGGATATCGGAGTTTGTGGATCGGGTGAGCTCGCGGCGCGTGGGGATGTGCAACGGTGTGGCAACATCAGCTGTGTCGTTGACGTATGGCATGTGCCTGAGGCATGGGGGTAGGTGGGCGGCAGGCAGGCAGGTAGGTAAGGTAAGGGACGGCCCGGCCGAATGGACGTGGCATCGCACCCGCATGCAGGGCTCGCAAGCGTAGCCACACATACATACCTACGGACACAGCACCCACCTAACCCACACGAGTATATGGCCCGGCGGGGAGCTCGTTGTTGTCCAAACTGCTCCATCCACCCATGCACCCACTGTTGCCATGTGTGCAATCGACCATAAGGCGACACGGAAAATGGGTCCTCATGCACGCGGAGGCGGGGGGACCGACCAAAGCGCGACCGCAATCGAGGAGTCCTTCGCAATGGAGGCAGTTGCGAGATTGCCCCGACCCACCTCCCCAGTCACCAACGCTGTTGGCGCCGATAATAGCGGTGGCGGCGGCAGCAGCGGCGGCAAGGGCAATCTTTCGAGGGCAACACACGCCTGGCGGCGTGCGATGCAAGAGATTGGGACGCAGTCACAGCTGCGGACTTATTGCTCGTCGTCGTCGGCCTTGGGGTCTGCTGCAAGGTGGTCTTCGTCGGCGGCGGCGCCGGTTTGGGGCGAAGGCGCACAGGCGGGAGTCGTGGACCCGCTGCTGGCAGATTATGAACGTCTAAAACAGGAGGAAGCTGGTCTGGTGTCAGGTGAGGCGGACAGAGGCACCAAGGCGGAAGAGAACAGGGCCGGGTCTGTTGTTGTCGTTGCCTGCGACAGTGGCGGCGCTGGGCGAAAGGCTTTTGGTCGTCTCTGTATGTGCTCGTAACAACATCCTATTTACGTGGCGTATTGCGTTGCAAACGCTGTTTGTAGCGCTGCGCTGGGCTCCGGCTAGCCTGGTCTGAGCAGCCCTTTGGGATGTAATAGTAATTGCTAAAATTGCACACACGTAAAGCCAGAAGAAAAAATATAGTTACCTATTATTTAGGAAATACGTTCGAAGCAGTGTCTACATAAGTCCAAATTGGTAATTTTCGCGCGATTTGGGGATGGCGTCGGAGTCCGGGATGAGGGGTTACTCTACGACCACTGTCGTGACGTGCTCGTCCTTTATATAAAGCATAATAAATATTACGACGAAAAAATATGCTCGGGTTTAGAATTTCCCAGCTATTGAAGGAGGCGTATGGCTGCGTCCCGGTAGTGGCTAGTACAGCTACATCCTGCTATATCGTATGACATGGGCGTGTTCTAGAATTGGCAACAAGACATTCGGCTACGTGCAAATTAAAATGGAAGAATAATCTAGGAAAATCCACGTATTGTTAATTGCGTCTAGCTGTGTCTAGCTGTTTGGCTATGGCGCAAGAATTTGCGACAGGTGTCGAAAGCATATGACAGAGAGGATCTTTATTTCGAACCATGCTAGGTTTCAGTTCCTTCGCCGTGACAGTGGCAGTTCGTTTTTATCGACAGTTAGTACAACAAAATGCGTCTTATGGCTGGTTGCGGGTGCAAAGCGAAAGTGCATTCCTGCGGACGGCTTACAACTCGCAAAGTCGCAAGCCGCGAGAAATCGCCCATGTCTATACGTGATTCGGTTTTCCGTGCCTATCATATCCGACTGAGGCCGAGTCACGTAAGCGGAAATACATTGAAGTGGCATGCGGTATAAATGGCTTCGTCTGCCTCAGCAACGCCATAGGCTCACACAAAAGGAAATGCCAAATCTGCTTTCCGGCCTAGTGTAGAAATGCCTTTGCCTGTCAAGGACGTCTCAGTGATATTCTTATCGCCCCCCGTTCCTGCCTCACTGTAGGCTTCTTCTTTTTCGCCTCCCGCTCATCCTAGGACTTAGGGTTTTTAGAATATCCCTCTAAGGGGCGGCACTCTCAACCCGCACGCTGTCTTCTGCTGCCACCGAGCGTTCCCTGTTGCTGATCTTTCCAATCTTCCGCAACCAGTCTTAGTCTGAATCACCACTTCTCTTTGTTGTAGATTCCCCTCCCCCCCCCCCGCCCCCAGTTAGGAGAGCCGCCTCTGTCTACTTGTTCTCAGTGAACCACTGCCGCTACTTTAATCCCACATGCACCGCCTTTCCCGGCTGCTACCTTCACGAACACGTACCGCCTTCAACCGACAGGTCGCCACTGCGGGTTTCCGGAGCTAACTGTTTCCCCCTGTTGCCTGACACGCATTCGTGCCTCACTTAGCGGACCGCAGCAGCGGCTTTTGTACCAAACCCTAAACCCTAAAACCCTAAGTGCACCGCCTTCCGCAGCTGCTACATAGATGCAGCTGAACCGTCTTCAGTTCCAGCACCAGCATTGGTTTGCACCGGCTCTAAGCGGTGGGACATCGCCGTTCGCGTAGTAAGACCGTATGATTGCGTGCACGTGTCTGCTGTAGTTTTATTGGTAAATACTTCTCCCACTAGAAGATCCGCCCTACAGGCGTGAAAAAACCAAATCACATATTATTCGCGTATGAAGTTAGGCGAATGCTTGTGATTTATTGCGATTTGCGACTTTGCGAGATGCAAGCAGGAGTGCACTTCGCCTTGATATCGCAATTTGTTGGCAACTTGCCATAAAGGCAGTAAGCAATCCCTGCCCTCAGCTTGCTACATTTGCGCCTAATGTAAAATTATAATTTTGCGCACTAATACTAAAACTGCATCGACAATCGATTTTGCGGCTAAAACGCCGACACCACAGGACTTGCAAGTCCTGTGGCAATAGCCTATATGGATTAGCTAATCCATACGGAGTTGCTTAAATTTTAAGTATGTCGCCGTAACGGTGATGTACATATCCCTTCGCGAACTTTAAAAAGCCAAATTTTACCCCCATAAAGGTAGAATTATACCTCAAAGCGTTTTCCAAATCTCATAATTTCGTGATTTTGTGCAGTCCCTAAGATATTTTTTAAGCGGTGCTACCCGTTACGTTACACCCGTGGCTCAGCAATTTTATCGTCCAGTTCGGTGCCTAATGGAGGGAGCCTTAAAAGGCTCACCCGTGAAATATGTTGATTTATTTAAGGAAAGCATTAACAAGTATTGGCTTTTAGAGGTATATCTGTTTTGGCGCAAATGAGCGCTCGGCAAGGCCGGCCAAGTCCCATTGTGATAGTAAAGCATTTTACTCAATTTGCTTGGGCTTCATTGGCAAAGCTTTTTAATAGTAGAAGGTTTTCCGCATTGCCAAATCCTCAGGACCGCCGTCTTAACGACCCACGGCCGTACAGCGGCGTCCAGCTACGTTCGCAAGTAGCGTACGTAGTAGCACGTTCGTTAGCGCAAGTTAGCGCTCGCGGCTATCATGCGCACGACATTACAAGGAACAGGCTTATTGGTTTTGCAGCTTCATTACGGTAAAATAAATGTTGAACATGGTCGTAAGGACTCTTTTCTCCCTTGAGGCTCGAGCTGAGGCTATACCTCCGCAACAGGGACACCAAGCACTGCGTATCTATTAGGGTTTTCCTAAGCGTCTGGGAGATAATATATAACTTTTGATGTCCTTGCGATGTGTCTCCGCAACATGTGCAAAGGGCACAAAAGAGTACCATGACGCATGAGTAACCGCGATCCAGCCACCCTATGTTAGAACATCCAGAGTCCAGATCTTCGGATATTGGCATGTAGCCATTTTGAAGCCGGTGTGTTGTAATGCCCGCGTCTTGTCACGGTACGGTCGCGCAAATGTCCACGGCGTTTTTGCGGATTCCGCGTGGCCACGTAATTGTCTTTCCGAGAAGTATAAAGTTTTATCGCCATCGAAAGGGCATCCGAAGGAGTTCTGGCTCGCAGACGTAATGTTGTCGTAGTTTAGGTACGTCCAAGTCCACTTGGCTGTCGCATTCAAAAACCGGCACAATATGGTGCAGCATCGCAGCATCTTTAAACCCCTACCCTCGTATTTTACATACCAAGTTTTCATATACGGGCCCAAAGGGCCGCGATGCTGTTGGACTTTGTGCGGGAACAGCTAACGATTTTCAGCAGGTCGACAGATACGAGTCTGGAAGGGCAACTAAAGCACCCAGACCAATGCTTTGCGTCTGCAGTAGTGCTTATAGCGAATATTTAACAGCAATCGGATGCCACAATAAGGTAGAATTGTCTGGACGATTTAGCGAACGTACTTGCAGCAGGCAATTAAGGCTTGCAGCCGCGCTGGAAACATTTGGAGAATGTAGGAGCCTTTAATCACGTTGATAGCATACAAAATTGTTGGAGGAGGTCGGCAATGATGTGCGACAGACGGGGACGACCAGAGTGGCGGTGAGAACACGGCTTTGCCTATGCCCTTTCCTTGCAGACGTTCTTACGGCTCTTGGCCGTTTCGTACCGAGCCAGCCGAGCTAAACACATCTGGACGCGTAACTGTGCTGGTTCTTGAAGTCGTTTTCCCGCTGCAGCAAACCACGGCAGAAAGAATGCGTGCGTGGTGAAATTGCAATCATGAGGCATACTATGCTCGATTTTTCAGGTATTGGAAAAGCCCAGGACTCCGCCACACATCGTACCTCTGGCAGCCTCTTCGCACGAGCTTGCTTCGCCTGGCAATTCATGAAAAACCTGGCCAGTCTTGCGCCGTGGCCTGGGAGACCAGACCCCAGAGCAAACGCATTGCCGTGTGGCTCGTGCTTGTTTTCATGTCGCACTGAACGTACAGACGTGGGCAAGTTGCTGGGAGGCGCCGGTTCCCGGGAGGCGTATTTGCGGGGCATACGGGAGGCAACCTCACCTCGGCGGCGCCACGGTGGTGGTGGGTTTTACGGACACGATCGAGCCGAGCAGCAGGAGCAGGAACGGCAGGAGGAGGATGCCAGGTGTGTGTAGAGGGAGTGGGTTTGGCCAGCTGGCAGGGGACATCGTAGGGCATCGTGGGCGCCATGTGTACGGTTTGGTTGCCTGGGAGAGAGTGGGTGAAAGATCGCGGTTGGGGAATAAATAGCCTGATGAAGCAACCGCATAGCAGCACTAAGGTAGGGAGAGCGGATGGTCATGTGGCTGGCCTTTGGGGTGCCGCCTGTTACCTGGGAGATTGTAATATAATCAGCGTTTCGTCGAGAGTTTCGTTTCGTGATTTGCACGTGCACATGTCACTCGGGGTTGCGTAGGGGGTATTCTTGTTCTCGTGCAGTTGCGCCTGTCTGGCCACAACACGTTTTTGAACGTGAGGACCTCTTGCTGTTTGGAAAGGGTGCAAGACAAAGTGCCCGAAGTACGATTTGCATGAAGTCGGAAACGTGCGGAGTCTGCGGGTGCGGCTGCGGCTCTGTGGATAGCTATGGGCATGCTGGTTTCGGCAAGAGCCGGGCGCTTTCAATTCGTCGTGCGCCAGTGCAGGGGAAGCGCCAAGGCTGTACGTGCACTGCACAATGAGAAGGGATCCGTATCCTTAAAATCCGGCGTGCAATCGGCACTTAGGAAATAAAAGAAAGGCTTTGTTCCTGAAGGACTTAATTTTCCTTGCCGTGCTGATGGAAGCCTGTCGCTACAGCCCATCAGCTGTGGGGGAACAGGGATTCCATCCTGTTGTGTACAGCCGCACTTCCCGCAGACTTTCCGGCCTTACCACTGTTGCTATCGCCGCTTGTCTCCCCTCCACGGCGCCCCGGTCCACGGGTCGCGTGAAGTGGCCTAATCTGGACCCTTCTCAACCAACCGCGTTTTGCACCTCGCCTTCCTGATCTGCACAGCCACGACACCGCCGACGGTCAGCGCCATAGGGACGGCAAGGACAAGGACGCTGTGTGTGCCGACGGCGACGGCTGCGATCCCACCTTTGGCCAGCCGCTCGTACGGTTGCAGTACCTGGATTGCCATTTCCAGCTGGCGTCCAAGGTTATCAGGTGAGAAGCGACCGCACATGTATGTATGCCTGTGGAGAGGCAACATCAGGCACACGGACGTGTAGCTATGGTTGTTAGTTGCTGCGCCAACGCGCCGCAATCCTTATTCGTGCGCCTGTGAGTTTGGCTTCCTGTGAGTTGCTATCGCCTTGTGGTTTCCATGGCCTTGGGGCTACCTGCTCTATCGGTCCTTCCTTTTACGGGCAGCCGCCACATGTGTGCGATGGTGGTGATGGTGGTGGTTTGCAGGTTCGAGGAGGCAACGGAGCTGATGAGGCGCCTGTTGGGGGAGAGGTGAGATCGGCTGGCGGTCGTGTGAGGGAGTGGAAGGGCAGTTGGGTATTGAGAAATCTCATGTAAGCATCCTGGGAGCATCCTGAAAAGATGTTTTTTTCAAGCAACATCCACGCGAGCGAGCAACATCTTTGGAATAGAGAAAGAAAGAGAGTTCTGAATTGTTTAACGCACGCGAGTCCCTGAGCGAGTGGCGAAGGTAGACAAAGACAGGTGGTGGTGATGAGGGCATCAGCAACGCCATCCACAGCATCAGCCGCCATTTCAAGCCAGCATTGGGAGATGAGATGCCTCCACGGCGGGAATGGTTTCGGCTTTCAAACAGCCGGCTGCCACATTCTCCCGCATTCCGGCTCGAATCCTGCCCATGACCTTCCCCTCACAACCTTTGCTTAGGATTCGATCATCCACCTGTATTTCCTAAGGTGATTTTGAAGGCGCTGTGTTTATGCGTAAAAAACGTTCTCAAATTTGCTCATGGCGTATTCACAACAATTCCTCATTAACAAAACTCACAGGGGCTGGGACGCGCGAGCCAATTGCACCTATACGGATGTCGCCGAACCCACCATCCAAACCCTTCCGGACGCTGATGACATCATCACTGCCAGTACCGCTACCAACCCCTGCGGCCCGGAAGCTTCCGCGCACTCTCCAGGTTGGGGGCCCAACACGGCACCAGGGGGCGAGTCGCTGAGGGCAGCGAGGCCCGTTCGTCCGCAGCTAGAGCAGCTGTATGGCCCGGACCTCGGCACGGTGATTGCGGGGCAGGTGGCGGGAGAGCTTCCGGAGGCAGCGCTGCGGCGGGCGGCCGGGCTGGGCGGAGGTGGCAGCAGCGGCGCGGTGGCCACTGGGGACCAGGCGGCGGCGCCGCCGTTCGTGCTGCGCCGCGCAGGCACAGCGCTTGCAGGTAAAGGTGGGGGCGTGGGCGTTACAGGGGCAGATCGGACGCGGTAGGGCGCGGCTGGGACATAGCATGATCAGGACTTACGTGATGCCGTACTGGTTTCGGCCCTGAGAAGTGTTTAGGCTTGTAATACGCCATTTACAGCTTTACGGGTTTTTCCCTGTAGCTTATGGTAGCCTTCCCGAAATTCCTTTAATTCGTGTTCACACGTAGTAAATCGGTGTGATTGGGCTGAATTGGGATTCAAATTATAGTCAATTGGGCTGAAATTGGAGTGGTGTTGGGGTGGGGTTTAGTGCAACTGCCAAAATCTTTCAGTACACAAAGATGCTACAGCAGCTAGTTAGCAAATTTGACATTATATAAACATCACAGTTTGCAAAAGCCGTTGACGACTTTTCGGCAATTATCCTGCCATGTATGTACAAGCTTGTGACGCTTTCTGTCGAAAGGACGTTATACAGTATTATTCGTATATAATGCTGCCCGGCCTTAGGTAGTCATGGCCAAATTACAAGGTGGCGTCATCCTTTTTCGAAAATTGCATGTGATACAATGCATGTTGATTAAGTGCTCGTCCTGTAGTGTAGTACGGCAAGTGCGGCGCGGGAGGAGCAGACCGGAATTGGCCAGAGGACAGTGACTGATACGGTAGTGCGTTACAAAGATTAGCTGGGAACAAAGCGCTGAATCCAGACAACGCTAGTTCGCCAGTCAACCGTGCAAGCAAGCGCAAGTCAGAACGTCGTCTGTTGGGGATTTTGAATTGTTTAAATAGAGACTTACTTTGTATTCGGGACCCAGCTCAATAGTAAAGTAGATAAGGCGATTTGACGTTGCTGGCATATCGGTCGCCAGTAACAGCGAAGTGATGGCAGAGCGCGAGCAATCGCGCGGCGGAGGCCAAGAAGGCTTGGAGGACATCCTCCAACAGCGGGACGAAGGAGGACACCAGAATGGCGGAGCACCTAGTTACCCGGAGGGGGCCGATGCGGTGAGTAACAGACGCCAGCTATTGCTCCGCGCGGTCAGACTGTAGGCACAGCCAGCCGCCGCAAGTTCTGTTATATCAAAGGCATGGGAGAGACCGGACCCAGTTTTAAAATAGCGGGAAAGGGATGCGCCGCCGCTGTTGTTTGACCAGGCTGGATTAGAAGCTACGGGTCAGGCTTAGCTTATGAAGAACACGAATCTGTAGACCGCGAGTGGCCGACTCAGAGTATTAGTGCTCGTGAGGTTGGGTCCGTTTCCGGTGGATGGCGCCGCGGCAGAGGGGTAGTTGCTTTGAGATGGCGCAGCGGGGTCTGTTATCCCAACGGGTCCCTGTCCTGAAAGCAGC